AAATACCCCCTACACAGCCACTGCATTCCACCATTCCCATCCTACAACCAGGATCCTTCCATTGCCCCTTCTCTTCAAATACCCCCTACACAGCCACTGCATTCCACCAATCCCATCCTACATCCTGAAGACCTTTATTCCCCTTCTCCTTAGATATCCCCAAAACAACCACTGCATCCCACCACTTTTATCCTGCAACCCAGAGACCTCCATCCCCCATTCTCCACAGATACCCCCTATACAGCCACTGAATTCCACCAGTTCCATCCTGCAACCCAGATAACTCTATCCCCCCCTTCTCCATAGATACCCCCTACACAGTCACTGTGTCCAACAAGTCCCATCTTACAACCCTGATAACTCCATTTCCCCTTCCTCTGCTCAGATACCCCCTACACAGCCACTGTGTCCCACCAGTCCCATCCTGCAACCCACAGACTTCCATCCCCCCTTCTCCTCCTCAGATACCCCTACGTAGCCACTGTGTTCAACCAGTCCCATCCTGCAATCCACAGACCTCCACTCCCCCACTTCTCAGATATCCCTACACAGCAACTGAATCCCACCAGTCCCACACTGCGACCCAGAAACCTCCATTCTGCCTTCTCCTCAGGTTCCCTTACATAACTACTGCATTCCACCAGTCCCATCCTACAATCTGAAACCTCTTTTCTCATGTGTAGGAGATATCAGAGAACTCCATTCCCCCTTTTCCTCAAATACCCCCTAGAAAGCTATTGCATCTCACCAGTACCACACTGCAACCCAGAAACCTCCATTCCCTCTTCCCCTCAGATACCTTCACACAGCAACTGGGTGCCACCAGTCCTATGCTTCAACTAAAAGACCTCCATATCCCGTTCTCTTTAGATATGCAGTACTATGCAACTGCATCCCACTCTGCAACCCAGAGACCTCCATCCTCCCTCGTCCTCAGATAACCCCTATACAATCCTTTTGTCCCACCAATATCATCCTATAACTCAAAGACCTCCATCCCCCTTCTTCTCCAATACCCCGCTACTCAACCACAGCATCCAACCAGTCCCAACCTACAACCCAGAGACCTCCATCCCCTCTTCTCCTCATATACCTCCCAACACAGCCACTGTGTCCCACTCATCTCATCCTGTAACCCAAAGACCTCCATCCCCTTTTCTTCTCTAATACCCCCACTATCCAACCACAGCATCCACCCAGTCCCATCCCACATCCAAGAGACCCCCATACCCCCCTCTTCTCCGCTACCCCCTACTTAACCAGAGCATCTAACCAGTCCTATCCTACAACCAAGAGTTCCCCCTCTTCTTGGGTACCCCCTACTCAACCACAGCATCCAACCAGTCCCATCCTACAACCAAGAGACCCCCATACCCCCCCTTCTCCAATACCCCCCTACTCAACCATAGCATCCAACCAGCCCCACCCTACTACCCAGAGACCTCCATACCCTTTCTCCTCATATACCCCCCAACACAACCACTGTGTCCTACTCATCTCATCCTGCAAACCAAAGACCTCAATCATCTTTTCTTCTCCAATACCCCCTACTCAACCACAGAATCCAACCAGTCCAATCCTACAACCAACAGACCCCCCCATAACCACCCTTCTTCTCCAATACCCCCTACTCAACCACAGCATCCAACCAGTCCCACCCTACAACCAAGAGACCCCCATACCCCCCCCCTTCTCCAATACCTCCCTACTCAACCACAGCATCCAACCAGCTTCACCCTACTACCCAGAGACCTCCATACCCTTTCTCCTCATAAACCACCCAACACAACCACTGTGTCCTACTCAGCTCATTCTGCAAACCAAAGACCTCAATCATCTTTTCTTCTCTAATACCCCCTATTCAACCACAGAATCCAACCAGTCCAATCCTACAACCAACAGACCCCCCCATAACCACCCTTCTTCTCCAATACCCCCTACTCAACCACAGCATCCAACCAGTCCCACCCTACAACCAAGAGACCCCCATACCCCCCCTCTTCTCCAATACCTCCCTACTCAACCACAGCATCCAACCAGCTTTACCCTACTACCCAGAGACCTCCATACCCTTTGTCCTCATAAACCACCCAACACAACCACTGTGTCCTACTCAGCTCATTCTGCAAACCAAAGACCTCAATCATCTTTTCTTCTCTAATACCCCCTACTCAACCACAGCATCCAACCAATCCAATCCTACAACCAACAGACCCTTTTCTCCTCATATACCCTCCAAAGCAGCTATGTCCCACTCATCTCATCCTGCAACCCAAAGACCTCCATCCCCTCTACTTCTCATATACTCCCCAACATAGCCTCTGTGTCCAACCAGTCTCATCCTGCAACCCGGAGACCTTGATTTCTTTGTTGCTCATAATTATGAAACACTGTATCCAAAATGTAAAAACACCAATACTAGTTCCCTCATTTAATAAAGACTATACGGCCTTTCCCTCTTCACAATAATCAAGCAACGTGGATTTATCATGCCAATGGGCTTCGGTGACGCTGCACATATCAAACTGGGACATGTCACTATGATGGACTTTTCAAGCTGGGGGGAAATTATTTGAAGTGAACTTCAATACAATCGATTATTATAAGAATCCTAGTTATTATCATTATTAAAGGACTCCTGTAGTACGCTGACCCCCTTCTGGAAATGTCAGTTCCCTGGCTGCATTTGGTCAGGAAAGCAGGCCATAAACTCTTCTATTGCATCTGCTGTTCAGCGAAAAATTTTCTGTCTAAGTCCTTCAATCGAATTTTTCAGTCGAAGGATGTTGGGAGGGTGTCAACAGAGCCCTATGGAGTGAATTTCGTCCGGTTCATCAGAATCTGTGCGAAATTTGCATAGTGCATGGCCAGGTTAACTCGAGGCAATTGACCTCAGATCTGGTCAGGCGTCTTGTATGTCTCGGCAGATGTTCAGCAATGGCAGCCTCCTATTTCTGGTGTTGCTCCTTTATCGTCCAATCAGCAACCTGGGGGTTATGGTCTACTTCCTCTGTAGTGGAGGTTGCAGACCTGGCTGTGATGTCTGCTGCACACAAATCGGCCAATCAAGTGTGCTGCATGTACGCCTGTTAACAAGAAACATGCTGAAAGGAGGAGATTGTTGAGCTCATCCTTTCATCGTCCAATCATAGGCTGGGGGGGGGGGCAGACAAGACCTGTAACTGATACTTAACTACAGCAGACAAAAATCAGGTCTCCTGCTCTGCCATACAAGGCTGTGCTGTGTGGCAGAGCTGTGTAAAGTTTAGGACTGGATGGACATAGCTACATATAACTCTTCTATGTATTTTATCTGTGTGTTTAGCTGTTTGCTTGGAGTTGTGTTTTCAGTGTTAATGAATAGGTTACGTGTCAGTGGTTACTAGTGACGGCTAAATGTAGGACTGGGTTCAATGTCACTTTTGTTAGCTTATGGGGTTAAAGAAAAAAAATGGAGAAGTTTGAGAAAATGCAGAAAAGCAAAGAATTCCATTATGAATATTCACATTTAATCTATAAGTGCTGTGTCAGCTTTACCAAACCAGTTTATCTGGTGTTGAAAAAAAGTACCTCTTTATTATAAAAAACACTATTCCTAGCGTAGGTCACATGGTCTCCATCTACCAATCAGGACCACTTGGGTTGACTGTTCTCAGGTTTGCCGTTCATTTCTAGAAGAACTGCACTGAGAAATAGAAGTCTGTCGGATGCAAGAGAAAAAAAACACAATCTCCCCCCCAGGAACTTTGATTAATAAAAACAATAGAAAAGATACAGAAATACATAACAATACATTGTGTCAAATATTAATACTTGTGGATACGATTATCAATGATCTTGATATGTATAGCTAGAACAAAATAATAAGCCAGGTAAAGTAGAACTGAAGGCAATTTTTTTTTGCTTTAGTTTTGGATAGTGGGAGGGTTATAGCCCTGTCGGGTTTTGTGTCCCATTGGGGGACCATCCATGTCTAGAAGAACTACACTGAGAAATAGAAGTCTATCGGATGCAAGGGAAAGAAACACGATCGATCCCCAGGAACTTTAATTAATAAAAACAATACAAAAGATACAGAAATACATAACAATACATTGTGTCAAATATTAATACTTGTGGATACGATTATTAATGATCTTGATATCTATCTACCTATCCATTCAGTAGTATCCAACCCTTGGCGATTGCAGGGACCGTCACTCGTAAGCGACTTTTTCCATGAATTCTCTTAGCAATTATTTTACAGGGTAGGTTGCCAGGTCTTTCCCCAACCCCCACCATGCAGGAGATCCCCCACATGGCCAGGGATGAAACTAGGACATGTCTTTGGAGTGTGGAAGGAAACCGGAGCACCCGGAGGAAACCCACACAAGCACAGGGAGCACAGGGAGAACATGCTAACTCCATGCAGGAGGCACCATGGTTGGGAATTGTACCCATGGCCCATTTACTGCATGGCAGACGTGCTAACCACTAAGCCACTGTGCCGCCCCTTGATATGTATAGCTATAATAAAATAATGAGCCATCTAGATTGTAAGCTCCAAGGAGCAGGGCCCTCGATCCCCTCATGTTTTGCATTGTATTGGTATTGTTCTGTCACATGTTCTGTCCCCCTTTGTAATGTACAGCGCTGAGCGAACTATTGGCGCTTTATAAATACTGTATAATAATAATAATAATGTATAAAGTAGAACTGAAGGCCATTTTTTTTTTTTAAGTTTTGGATAGTGGGAGGGTTATACCCCTGTCGAGTTTTGTGTTCCCTTCACTTCCTGTCCCATAGAGAAAAAAAAAAGCGAGAGGAAATCCCTCCAAAGAAAGGCAATCCCTGGTTGTCACCAGAATTAATGTCCCGATTGGAAGATGTCCCCTCTGTTCTGGTGAGAGCCCAAAATTTGGGATTTTCTTTCACTTCCACTCGGTGATGGTGGTCACCAGAACAATTAGAAAGGGTGAATCTCCCCAAAGGGGGCACAGACTGCAATAAAAACCTGACAGGGGAGACCGGATATAGTGAATGCAGGGTCCGGGGAGAGCGGATATAGTGAATGCAGGGTCCGGGGAGAGCGGATATAGTGAATGCAGGGTCCGGGGAGAGCGGATATAGTGAATGCAGGGTCCAGGGAGAACGGATATAGTGAATTCAGGGTTCAGGGAGAGCGAATATAGTGAATGCAGGGTCCGGGCAGAGTGGATATAGTGAATGCAGGGTCTGGGGAGACCAGATATAGTGAATGCAGGGTCCGGGGAGACCAGATATAGTGAATGCAGGGTCCGGGGAGAGCGGATATAGTGAATGCAGGGTCTGGGGAGACCGGATATAGTGAATGCAGGGGTCGGGGAGACCGGATATAGTGAATGCAGGGTCCGGGGAGAGCGGATATAGTGAATGCAGGGGTCAGGGAGAGCGGATATAGTGAATGCAGGGTCCGGAGAGAGACCAGATATAGTGAATGCAGGGTCCGGGAACACCAGATATAGTGAATGCAGGGTCCGGGAACACCAGATATAGTGAATGCGGGGTCCGGGGAGAGCGGATATAGTGAATGCGGGGTCCGGGGAGAGCGGATATAGTAAATGTGGGGTCTGGGGAGAGCGGATATAGTGAATGCAGGGTCCGGGGAGACCAGATATAGTGAATGCAGGGTCCAGGAAGACCAGATATAGTGAATGCAGGGTCCAGGAAGACCAGATATAGTAAATGCAGGGGTCGGGGAGACCTGATATAGTGAATGCGGGGTCCGGGGAGACCTGATATAGTGAATGTGGGGTCCGGGGAGAGCGTATATAGTGAATGCGGGGTCTGGGGAGAGCAGATATAGTGAATGCAGGGTCCAGGGAAACCAGATATAGTGAATGCAGGGTCCGGGGAGAGCAGATATAGTGAATGCAGGGTCAGGGGAGACAAGATATAGTGAATGCAGGGTCCAAGGAGATCAGATATAGTGAATGCAGGGTCCAAGGAGATCAGATATAGTGAATGCGGGGTCCGGGGAGAGCGGATATAGTGAATGCAGGGTCCGGGGAGAGCGGATATAGTGAATGCAGGGTCCGGGGAGAGCGGATATAGTGAATGCAGGGTCCGGGGAGAGCGGATATAGTGAATGCAGGGTCCCGGGTTTAGTAACACTTTATTGTTATCACAAGGGAACTAACAAGCCTCCTAGGTGATAACATTGGGCAGGTGACAGGTCCTCATTATGAACACATCAGGGGTCTATTCAACCCCCAATATTTTCCGTGCCCCTCCACCCTCACACACACACATTGTGACTTGATTAGCTGACTCCCCAGCCACAGTAGCCGAGGAATTGCAACTATGAACCCAGAAGTCACACAATCCTCATCACTTCCAGGTTCGTTAGTTGGGTGAAGGATGGACCCCAGATGTCTCCTGCTCATGGTGGTCCAATTTATTGTGGTCCTGAGATTCCCAGAGCAACAGGACAGGTTAGGAACCACCCTGGCGTTGGCGGTAGAGGTAGTGGGGGGGTTGGGCGTGTAGATGCGGCACCTTCAGAGCCCCATAAAACGCCGGCTGTAGGAATCAACACCATGCTCAGGTGAGCCTCAGCACCAGGCGCTCTGTAAACCTAGACAAGGGGTTAATGGAAGATACAGATTACAGAATACGAGATTTTAGCGGTTGGGTTTGTGTCGGCATTCCTTCCCCCTCTCCAGCCAAAACATCAGGTCTGGGAGTATGGAAGTGCCGGATTGTGCATGTCTCAGAACAGTCAATTGCGTCATAGGACCAGGAATTGCTTACTGTATTGCAGAGTTGTCACAGCCATGACCCAATGAAAGGGTTAACCCGCCCAGGTGAATGCCATTCCTGACTCGCCCGCCCAGGTGAACGCCATTCCTGACTCGCCCGCCTCAAGCGATATCTTCTTATGTGACTCACAAACCGAGAAACGTGACAACAAATCACTAAACCCTCCAATCAGGTGCCAGGTGACCCAGAAAGCTTGGGCAATGTGTGGTTGGATTCTGCAACCCGAGTGTTTTACGGGAAGGTGCCGTCCCATGCCCAGGGAAGGCCAATCAAAAGAGTGCACCCGGTGACTGTAGGAGGAAATGTTTTGTAATCTAGATGGTGATTAACGAGGAAATGCAGATGAGTTCAGTTATAGGCGGATATTTCAATGGCTGAGTCAGCCCCAGACTTCTTATATGTCCTGGATCCTCCATCCGTGAGATCTCCTGTTATCAATCCCGACTTTGCTCCTGTCCCCCTGGGAGGTTTAGGTATTCCCCCCAATCCTCACTTTTTGTGTTCCTAGCTCCTCCTGTTACATAAAATAGGAGGAAATCCAGCGGGGATGGTGGGAACCCCTCATAATGGGCACAGCAGGTGTACAGACCCAGAAACTCAGCACAGAGATGGTGGGAACCCCTCATAATGTGCACAGCAGGTGTACAGACCCGGGAACTCAGCACAGAGATGGTGGGAACCCCTCATAATGTGCACAGCAGGTGTACAGACCCAGAAACTCAGCACAGAGATGGTGGGAACCCCTCATAATGTGCACAGCAGGTGTACAGACCCAGAAACTCAGCATAGAGATGGTGGGAACCCCTCATAATGGGCACAGCAGGTGTACAGACCTGGGAACTCAGCACAGATACAGTGGAAATCCCTCATAATGGGCACAGTGGGTGTACAGACCCAGAAACTCAGCATAGAGATGGTGGGAACCCCTCATAATGGGCATAGAGGGTGTACAGACCCGGGAACTCACCACAGGGATGGTGGGAACCCCTGTGCCGGTAGCATGCTCTGCGTTAGGTCTCTCCATTAATGTACAAGAGCTGCCTAAGACACAATAAATGTACATGTATCACTTTATGAAGCACTCCACACAGCAATGCAAGGCGCTCTGGGCTGCCAGTCATATTACGTAGCACAAGAACACATGTAACGTGGGTGCTGGGTCCTGCATGTGTTACTGCAAAAAATGGCGTGAATGTTCCCTAAGGAGGACATACATACATCGTCATTATTCAAACACCAAAGACATGTGCTGTCTGGGCGGCGTGAGCCTTTTCCACTTTAATCCCCAACCAACTCTACTGCAGGCCATAGACGGGTCGAAAATCGGACGAAAAAAAAAAAATAGGACGATTTTCGCACCGTTAGTGGGTTAATTGGTCGGCCGTTTTTCAGGGTTTTGGCACATTTTCTTTATTGGTAAAGTTGGAAAAAAAATCTGCCGATTTTCCCGACAATGACGGGCAAATTGGCCAATCGGTTTACCAATAAAAAAATCTGTGCATGAGCCGTGACCTGCAAGAAGAAGAAAAAGAAGAAAATGAAGAAAAAGAAGAAAATGAAGAAAAAGAAGAGGAAGAAAAAAAAGAAAAAGAAGCAGAAGAAGAAGAAAAAAAGAAAGAAAAAGAAGAAGATGACAAAGAAGAAGAAGAAAAAGAAGAAGACGACGAAGAATAAGAAAAGAAAAAGAAGTAGAAAAGAAGAAGAAAAAGAAGAAGAAAAGAAGAAGCAGAAGGAAGAGGAAGAAAAAGAAGAAGAAGGAAGAGGAAGAAAAAGAAGAAGAAGAAGGAAGAAAAAGAAGAAGACGACGAAGAAGATGACGACGAAGAAGATGACGACGACGACGACGAAGACGACGACGACGACGACGACGACGACAATGACGATGAAGAAGACAACAACGAAGAAGATGACGAAGAAGAAGACGACGAAGAAGAAGATGACAACGACAAAAAAAAAGAAGAATTCCAGGCCACTATTATATTTTATATGAAAAGTCTTGTGGTTGCAACAATGTATCCATTTGTATCTGAATAAAAACATCTGTATCTGAAATGGATACAAATAGATACATTGTTGCAACCACAAGACTTTTCATATAAAATATAATAGCGGAGCTCTCTGCAAGGGACACAAGTAATTAAATGCCGGCCGTAAACGGGACGAAAATCGGCCAAATTTTTTTACCGTCGGTGGTAACATTGACCGATCGAACCACCAATTTTTTGTTTTTTTTATTTATAAAAATGGCCGGTTTTTGACCTGTCTATGGCCTGCATAAAAGACATATCAAAAGGCAAATCTATACATGTATAAAACAACAAAAAGCTAGAGCAAGAAGAAAGCCAAAAGAAGGAATTCTTCCAAAGGGAAAAGCCAGACAGACGACAAGGCCTCATTGACACGGGCATGTGTGTGGGTTCTGTCTGACAGAGCTAGAAGACAATCCTGTGTAGAACACACGCCTAAAACACTTGGGATTAGACATGTACAAGTCTTCTCATGACTTTCAATAAATAAATAATGTGTGTACGAGTGCCTGTGTGCGCACGCACATGGACCTACATAAATGCCTAAAATCTGCCAACACGCAGCTGTGTCCTACTTTGATGTATGCCCCTAAATGTGCACTTGTAGTCACAGCTGTGTGTATGGCCCCAATGATTCCTATAGCACTGCATTAACCTCCCTAGCGGTCTGATTATGTCAGTATTTCTGTGCTCAAAGCGGTACATTGTTTTCAATGGAAATTTGTTGTTTTTTTATTGTCGGCCTGTAATTCTTAGGAATAACTCACTGAAATCTGTCCAAACAAGTCTAGTAAACATCCCGGGGAGGATAAAATTTGAAACACGAAATCATAAATTATAATATAATAAATAATCATAAAAAATAATAATATAATAATACATTGAATTCAATAATATAATCAAAGCAAAAACACTGAAATGTGAAATAGAGCGCCAAGTTCGCACATCGCTGAGCTCAGTCACAGAATCGTTTTCAGTGTCTGATGAGGAATTTCCCCCACAAATCATTATCACTCAATTCTGCAAGTGGTTCTGATTTACTATCGCTGTTCTCTAGCCGGTCTAAAGCCGCTTTTGACCTAAAGGGACGCTTTTTGGACGCCATGGACTTTTCTCAGTTTCCAGGCAGAAAGGGCAGTAAAAATGCAGGCAGGGCGCCGGACAAAGCACTCGGGACACAATGTATGTGAAATGGTTTGATACAGGAATGTTATACTATGTGATTTTAGTGTATTTAGTGAACGTTTTAAATTTTTGAATTTCCCTCCAGTTCCCTCCCCCGTACGTCCTGACGTCGCAGAGACCGGAACCCGGAAGACAGATGCCGGCATCCGCCGGAGGACATTGCCAGGGACACTGCAGGGGGGACATTGCGGGAGCGCAGGACAAGGTAAGTGCAGGAGGGATCCCGGAACAACGCTGCAGTGTATTCCCGAGTGTAGCTCGGGGGGGGGGGGTTACCGCTTCTGGTACTGAAACTTTACCCCGAGCAACACTCAGGAATACCGCCAGGGAGGTTAAGATGCATACAAAACTATACGCCATATGCATCTAAGCGCAGCGTTT